AACTGGAAGCCAAAGTAATGTTTCAACATGATAGATGTGCACAATTTTCCTTTACTGACTGACTTGACTTACTAAAAAAAAAAACACTTTGTGACTAATAATTGGAAAAAGAAAGAGGAAGAGATGGTTTAATTGTGTTTCAAATCAAGTCTTTCCATTGACATTTGCAGCTTAGGAAAAGGATAACTAAAAGCACTCCAGAATATACCTTTTTTTTTTAGTGTAAAAAAGCTAATGACATAATAAAACTGGCAGAAAAGAACATTTATTTAAAATTTCAGAATCTAACTTTCATGCCTCGTTTGTTGCATATCTGTGACTACTCTCACACGTCAGACTAACATCCTCAGCATCTACTTGTGGTTACATGCAACATGGGACATAAGGAAAACCACTCAAACCTCAGCTCCCAAATACAAGAGCCAATAACGCCCTATTCCTCCAAGAACTAAAATAGACCACAACTGTTCTTTAAATCATCTACAAATAAGCGAGACTCAGCAATCCAACTCTATTAAGATGCTGTCGCCTACCAAAGACAGTGTACATTAAAGGCTGATTTCTCTGCAAACAAACAGTATTTGCATACAATATAACATTCATACGTTATCACAGATGTAATCACACATAAAACAAGACCTAAAATAACCTGTTATGGGTAGAACAGCTTCTATCTCACACCTCTACGTAGCAAACGCTATTTTACTGACAAAATATCCATAAGTGAATGAAGCAAAGGCTGCTGTTGGACACAAACTTTGTCTTCACTTAGGCCCATTTCAGATTTTCCACTTTATCCCACAGCAGTTATAGGCCAACCTAAATTTGTCTGTGTAAACTCGGCTTACATCACAACCATGACTGTCATGCCCCCAAGGCTCCCTTCTTTTCCTGAAAGAAATGTTAAAAGCGGATTCTACATTGCCATTTTCTCTGTCAAGGGATGCCAAGAATTTGCAGTTCTTAATGCACTGGCAAGTCCCTCTGTCATGATTTTCACTTCTAATACCTCATGTATAAAACCACCACTGAGTAAGTAAAAAGCTAGCAAACAAAAAACAAAACAACAAGCACGTAGCATTACCAACTGCTAAACTATGTATCATCTTCATATGTAAGTCAGAATCTGTCCGCTGTGCAAACTGGGTTACATACATAAAGAGCTCTGTCATGTTGGGGGGAATGCTCTATTGTGCCAGACCAGAAGGCATACTTTGATTTTATCTGCAACCTCTTCATTGAGTATATGCAGGACAGTAACAATGACTGTCCATGAACAGACCCTTTTTCACCGATCAGACAGAACTGCATGAGCATGACTGACACAGTTCTCTATTCTGTCCCCACTGTTTTCTTCTCTTGTTGCCCTAGACACAGCTCGCCGAAAAATACGGAAACAATTTCTTGGTGGTGGAGGGACAGAAGGAAGGAGGAAAAAGACAGCAGGGGCGGGAGGATGGGACAAGTTAGTCATACGGTCATCACTTCCCCTTCCATTACTCACCCTACTTCTTCACTCATTCAGTTCTACAGTCAGGTAGAGCATCTGACATGCAGAAACTAAGATTTAACGCATATACGACTCATTATACAACTAAAAGTGCAAATGCTGACAAGCTACCTATTGTTTTAAGGATGAATACTGTTCATCCAAGTATTATATAGCATGATGTGAATGCATCCTCCACTCTAGGGAGTTCCTACAGTGTAGACTATTAGGAGAAATAAACGGAAAAAGACCCTAAGGTACCTGTCCAATTGCTTGGGCAAAAAGATTTGAATAATGCACTGGCACTAATGGGCATGACCCTGCTCTCCCTGTCAAGACTCCAGCTCCTGACCACGTATTTCTACTACGTATCATAACCTGGTTCCAGCCTGCAGACTCCCCCGGTGAGCCTACGCAACTCAACAAATGCAAGCCCCAAAATAAAACTGCAAAGTTTTGGTGCGTTAAGTGAGTATCAACGAGCACCAAAGCTGGAACAACAGAGGTAATAAGATCATAGCTAAGAGCTTTATGGGAGGAAGGGAGAGAAGAAAGGGAAAGCCCCCCCCCCCCCTTTTTGGGGCCTGTGGAATTGCAGTTTCTTTCCATAACATCTGTCATTAGCATCTGTCATAAGCAATACCAGACTACATATACTTTCAACATGCCAAGGCATGGCTGTTCTATCTAATGTAGGGAAATGCTGTAAAAGAACACTGAAGTTAATAAAGCAAAGCTTAATTTCCTTTTCTAGACCAGCATTTTCTATAAAAATAGTGATCAGTTTTATTCAACATTCTTCTCTTCCTCTTGCGATTCCAATAGAACTAAGTTGAGTCAGAAAAGACATCTTTTAAAATCACTGCTCTGCTGGAGAGGGCAAAGAGGTTGGGTGAAAAGGACAGAGCTGCCAAGTCAATGAACCTTTTGGTAAGAGCCATAGTGGCAAAGAAAGACTTTAAAGGTCAGCAGCCTCGAGTACAGTCACAAGGAAGATGGGGCAAAGAGAAAAGAGCTATCTTAGAGCACTCTGCAAGAAGAACACATCTCAATACAGATCTGCTAAAGCCACCTAGTAGCAGCTTCTCTCTCAATATCTGCGTAAAACAATTGCACCTGTGTTGTGGGTTTTTTTCCCCCTACATGGGGGCTAGGTTTTCAAAGTCTACCTCCTCCTCTTCCTACTAATTCCTCCACCAGGAACAGCACAAATGAGTTAACTGTGTGGGTCTGGGAACAGAATTCAGCCCTGTTGGGGAAATGTGTTTTGATTCACATCCTAGTCATGAAGATTAACAGAAACCTAAACAATAGGTCTCAGGAACTAAAAGACCTAAAAAAGGGGAAAAAATTCCTTTGTTAGTGCCCACTGACTCTCCTAAAGAATCTATTGTTTCTGCTCATTTGCAAGGTGACTTTGATTAAACAAACAACCAAACAACCACAGAATCTGTCACCAACTCAAAACAAATGTGATTTTCCTTTTTAGTTTTCATCAGTGGTGATAGGGAAAAAGAACAAAACAAACAAACAAAAAAACCTTTTGCTTCATAGTAAAAAGTCCCATGAGGTAACAGATTTAATGCTGAGTAGTTAAATACCAGTTCTGCAAATTTGGGGAAGATTTCTGAGTTGGACACTTTCCTCAGGCTACTGAAATTAGAAAGGCCAAACAAAGGACAGTAAAACAAAGCACCACTGTAAATGATTGTAGAGGATTCTGCTTTTAAGAGAAGAGCAGGATTTTGACTCTCAAATTACCAACACATTCTTGTTACCTCCTTCAAAGGGACCATTCTTATCAACTTATCTGGGCAGAGAAACAATAGCCACATTCTTATGAGAAGCACACACTCGGTTTGTAAGGTCAGCTCTGGCCTCTCTTTAACAGCTTTGGGGGTTCTCTGCCTCACAGTCAATGGCTCCATGCAACTGAGATGCACGTGCACCAATATGCATCAGCTTCTCACAAAGACAAAGCCACTTCTAGACCTCTGCCTGTTGATTCATCAACATCAAGTTACCAAAAGGGAGCAGATGGTCTGCTGATTCCGATACTCATGCCATAGAAAGAACTGAAAAATCTGGAGACAAGGGCAATCTTAGTGATGTCTATCATTATTGAAGTCAGAGAGGCTAAGATCTGAGACCTGCAAAGTCAACTGCAGAAAATATCTTGCAATTTAAAAAAGTGAATACCAAAGCCCAAATTTCAGAAGAGACTAATTCCAGCAAGTCGCCTTTTAAACCTGAGGACAGGCTAAAACACATAATAGTCTGACCTTATCCATAAAAAGAGGTATCAGCATGCGTAAGAGACCCAGAAGACTAAGATAGGCCTCACCATACCACAGAAAGAAAATGAATGATAAATGAACAATAATATAATCAGTAAGACTGCGATAGAACAGCTATATAGCTCTATAGCTTACAACAATAATGCAAAGGTTTGTATTTTAGCTTTCCACAAAATAAAGGACCTGAACTGTCACTCATTCATTCTCACCATTTCAAAAACAAGATTTAAACCTAAGTGTGACCTTGATGAGTTGACCGACAGGCCTACATCATTCAATCTTTACATCAGATAAACCTACTTTTACTGAGGACGGATGGAGGCACATTTTCAGCACAGCTCATTCAAATCAGAGTTAATTATTGACCAGAATAAGCTCAACTTGTTCCAGTTTTCCCTTTGGGGGAGAGAAAACTGAAAGAGAGCATGCACGTTAGTATAGCTGACTTTTGACCAATAGGTCAAGTTTCTGTTTCAGAGAGCATTTCTCCAGTATGCCTTCTAGTGTAAATCTTTCAAATTCACTGGATCATTTCCCCATTCGCTCACATAGGAATTCTGAAAGAGCTGGAAACTTAACAGGCTATGTTTTTACTGATATATTTCACCTCTGATAATTAAACAGCAGTCAAGTGATCACACCTACAGAGGCACCAAAATCCCAAATGCACATTTGCCGTCGCCATGTCATGGCTCAATTGTTTTTCTGTGTTGTGACTTGAAGAGTTCTCCTTAGCAAACATTAACCCAGAATTATTAAGTAGCAGCAGTATTAAGCTGCAGTAAGCAGCACTTACAATACCTGAAACATATGTAGCCATTTAAGTGTATTGTAACAGGAATGTAATCTTGTCATTCAACTACACTTTCTCCCCCCGCCCCCCAGCTGTACGCTCCTTGGATTTAAATTATACACACTATACAACGTCTTTACTTAGAATAAAGACATTAAGGATAAAGCAGTAATATCCAAGAATGGCTAAGGAGGAAGAAAAGATGGGCAAAGCCTTTTAAAAAAAGGTACATGCAATTTTAGAAAGATTCCTTACCAGTAAGGAGGATAAAACAGAGAAAGAAGTAGCCACAGCCCCTGTAGCCCTGATTTTTAATCCGCCCACCATATTGAAGATATTTAGCTAGGAATGTCAGGATTTGAGAGATGTAAAAATAAAGTTTAAAGAAAACAAAAGCTTTCTTGAATTAACAACACTTTACCTCAGTGATTGGTTGCCCCTGTGATGTCAAGTCCAATTCCTGAGGTCTTGTCACCTTATCGATATCCAAGGAGTCCATGCTGGAAGCTGCGGAGGTTATGCTGGAACGGGAGGAGTTACTGATGGAGCGCACTTCAGCATCGCTCACTGTGCCAGCGGATGCTGTCCTCCTGTGCTGAGCAGTAACTACAGGTTTAGCATCTTCTGTGACAGACTGTTGGGCTGCCTCATCCATGCTCAAGGAGGCCTTCTCTAACTGTGCAGTGATGTCATCCAAAGAAACGTTGGCATGCGATGGTTTATTCACCTTACCAGATGAAGAGGATAATCCTTTCATGCTGCCATGCTTAGCAGAAGGTCGACTAGCAGGTGGTTTCTGAGCTTTGGTTTCTGTGGGTAGGCGTTTCACTGCAGCACTGTTTGCTGAATGAGACCCAATGTTGCTGAGCTCCTGCTCTATGGAACAGAGATCAGCCATGAGGGCATCTAGATCCACAGTCTCCCCCTGATTCAGGGCTTCTGCAATGAACAAGAGTTATCAGTACGCTCCGGTTACTTCATTTCTCTGCACCACTCTTCAATTTGGGTTAACAAGTTTAACAGTTGGGGTAGGGGAAAGAGAAGAAGCTGTATCTTCCTTTTCCATCTATATTGCAAAATCCCTGCTCGCTGCTAAACAATATCTGCACTACTATTCTTCACCTGTCTAAGAGCAATTTAAAAAAACATTTAGGTTAATACATTTGCTGATGGAGAAACCTATCAAAGTTCAGACTACATCTGAAAAGTTCAAACCACTGTCCTGTGAATAGAATCTAAAAATACTTTTATATATACCATCCATCAGTTTTTCAAAGAAGTGCAGGTATTTTGCTAAGCATTTTCTACTAAAGCATCGCAAAGTATGTGACATTGCTTTAAAAAAAGCCACCAAACACTGCACATACAGAAATCCTTAAATTAAGGCTTCCTGCATTATAACCAGAGGAAGTTATTTTAAAACAAGGAAAAGAGTGATTTCTGTTTAACATGAAAGCTTTCTGGAGCTATAATCCTGCATCCTGCCCCACAAGCAAGATGCTCTTTCTTCCTGTTTTACAGATTCACACCAATTCATTCTTTCACAAGACTAGATCCCAAAATAGTTATTTCTTTACAAACACTAGACTACAATTCTCAGACATCAGGTTCCAAAAGATACTGTTTTGAGCCATTCAGAATTCAGTGTTAAAGACGGTAAAACAAGTCAGCCACCAGAAAGCAACGCCTTTAGCGATCACATTCTCACTTCAGCTAGAAGTGTGTTTTAATGCTCTATTAAACCATCTTACAATATCCTCATTCACTGCTGAAACAGCTTTTCTTCCTACACTAATATTTGAGGGGCTGAATACTTCAACAGACCATTCAAATTATACATGGAGAAGCGATACGAGAAGTTGGCGAGATTAGTTTCTTGGCGGAGAGGTGATCTCTTCACTGGTGCCACAGGCTTGTCCGTATCCAAACTCTGAAAGAGACAAGAAAAGGGGCAGAATGAAGTTTGACAAGGAATTGGACAGGCAAACCTTCACCATGAAGGAAAGGTAATTTTCTCTGAGATAAGTTTTCAAAAAAACTCTTGGCATATCAAAATTTCTCTTTCAGCCCCTTAGACTGAAAACATATACCACCATACTGCAGAGATTTAACTTCAGCTGTTAATGAGGAAAAGATACTAAAGACATTCTGTTGTCACAGAACTGAAAGGAAGGAAGTATGTTCTAAATGTATTTTTCAGCAGTGTTACATACTGCCTTACGTACAACTTCTCTGAAGCGAACCACCCAGGTATACACACATTCAAACAGCGACCCCCTCTCCAAGAAACGCACCTTTAGCTCATGGGCATACCCACAGCCTCAGCACAGAAAAACACTCAGTGGAGAATTCTACTTTCTTAAAAAGAATTCGTAATTGACACTTTTCTGAATATATACACTTTTCTGAATATATATACTTTTCTTCATGAAAAATATTACATTGTGAAAGCCAACCCCAGTGCCCACCCTATCATAAACAAAACAAAAAACCAAAAACAAAATGGGGGGTGGGGAAGAGAGATCTTTGTCTGATATATTTGTTACGTTGTAGAGAATAGTATGGGCATATAACATTATAATAAATATCAGCATTTTTATAAGTAGTAAGATAGCGGGATCCAGCTGGTGACCCAAAAGCTGTACCTGGCCCACAGAGCCCTGTTCAACCTGATGCTTTTTTGTTGCAGACAAGCTGGCAACTGTTTGAGAAGCAGAAGCAGCGTTGAACAGCCAAAGGCTTCCCCGTAACAGCGGCAGCTCACAGTCCAGTGCTACTGCACCCTGGGGGCGAAGGAGCTGTCAAAGCTGCGCGCGAGGGTCCTGAGCCACTGTCCCTGCAGTGACAAGTGTTTACTTGGGGAATACTCTTGCAGTTGCCGAGGCTCAACAGGCCTGCAGAGGATGTGAATTTAAGCTATGCCTGCAGTGATAAAGCTCCTCTGAAGGTATGCTTGTTTGAGTACAAAATCGTTACCTCACCTGGCTTTGAAAGTGTTTTAAATAAGCTAGACAAAAATCCAGCTCTTACTCCAGTATATGGCCTCACAGGAAAATATACAGTTACAGCTCTAGTAACAAGTCCTATCAGTGAAATCAGAAAAAAAACGATCTCCGACGCTTCAGTCCAAATTGTCATAAAAGCCGTATTTAATAGGAATCAAAATTTAGTGTCTCAAAATATTTTTATGCCATTTGTCTTCTGGGGTTTGAATATGAGTTGATATTTTGGATAGAGATTTTAAGCGTTGCAGGGAGGAAAGGTGGGGGCGGAACATCTTCTAGCTCCCAAAGAACTAAATTCCTCACCCAAGGTTTTTTTCCCCCCCCTCCTTTTCTCATTTTCCACAGCTTTTTTCAAGCCTTTGTTACAATCAAGTACACTAATCTTTCAAATATTTATTTTTGCTGAACTCTCCTTCCTCTCGTCTCAATTTGGCTTGAATATTGAAAAAAATACTTTATTAGGAAGTCAATCATCACTAAATAAGCAGAATTTGAAGCCCGTAACACAGCCTTGTCTTCCATCAGGTGGAAAAAACCTCTAGTATCTCTGATGGAGCTTACGTATTTCACACAGAAAAGCTGAAAAACATCTGTTCAGAGCCGTACAGGCAGCAGTGAAGCTTGAGACATAGGAGACTAGGTAGGGCTCATTCCCTGTCTTACTACTAACCTCCCCCCCCCCCCCCCAAACTCCCACACACAAAAAACAACAACAGAAAAACCTCCCACACCACACCACTCTCCTGCAAAGCAAGTAATTCTGGCTAAAAGCATCTAAAAAGTGTTTTACGGAATTTAGAATTATCAAGTTATTACAATGTCCTTGGAAATATACGGGCTTCACTCCGCTGTTACCAGAGCACGTTCTCCGTAACGCATTATGATGTTAAACCAGCAGTTCACCAGACTGCTAAGAGCTGCAACAGCCCCAAAAAGTTAATTCTGAATGATCATGAAGCAAGGTGAGATTTTCTTCATTTATCCTGCACTGTAGAGCAGAATAACCTGACACTAATCACTAACGCACTCAGCATTAGTGCCAAACGCTGTTCACATAATACTGCAAATTTTGTGACTATATTTTATAGCGCTTTTATTAGAGCTGAGGTTAAGTAAGGTAAACTGAATTCAAATGATCTTGTGGGCATCATAACAATTAAAGATCTCTTAAAAAAAGTCTTTTTCATATGAAAAGGAATCTGGATCTTACTTTCAATTCCTCCAAAATAAACATACAGGAAATCTAAAAAGGAAGTTAAAGTTCAAGGAATTCAAGGACAAAAAGTCTCTTCTCCCACCGTTCTTCAGATTCAAGCTGATAAATAGCAACAAACACTGAGACTACACACGAGAATTCACTTTTGATCTCATCAGCTCTAACCACACCCCTTTACTGGGGCTTCAGCAGCACCGAGGCACCGTCCCTTTCCAAACACAAGAACAAACAACTGAGACACAACTGGATGAAGCTCTTCATACGAGACTATATGAGGCCATTCAAAGTTTTGGGGTAAATGTCACTTCTCAGTAGCTGCAGAAGACAGAAATGCAAATGCAGAGCTGTGCTGCAGACTGTTGTACAGCAGCAGCAAAGTGAGAAAAATAATGTGGATCCACTCCTAACTATCTGTTAGTGTGGTTTATGACCTCTGCATAAATCAAAACGAATTCAGACATCAAAAAGTCTGTCTGTAACAATACAGCTGCAAGCCACAGTAAAGTATGCTCGTATTTCTAGGCTGCTCAGATGTGCCTAAAAAGGAACATAGAACAAAAGGTCCAAAACCAATTCCTTATTGTGCTCTCCTGTGAAGGTCCTCATTAAAGGTACTTAACATGGCCCGTGCCTTCAAAAGGGCTCCCACCTGACCTTAAAGGGGGGAAAAAAAAAAATTCCATACTGAGTTTAAAAAATTACAACATGCAGATTTATTTCATGTTGACTTTCATTCATCTGAAAAGGAACAATTTTTAATTGCGCTGAACACACAAGTTGAGAACAAAAATTATTTTCCCTTATTTTAATATGCTGCTGAAGTGTAGATCTTTCAAGGTAGAGACTTTAATCAGAAGATACAAATAATAGAGATAAGCCTGAATTTGAAATGCTGTCATATGACTAGCTCAGTTTTCCCCCAGGAATTTTCTTTCAGATAACATCCCTTCTTCTCCCCCAAACCTACAGGATGCAGAAACGATGAAAAAAGTCTCTTCCTCTCTAGCCTTATTGAAACTTGGGACAGCATATCTTTTCTAAAGCGCATGAGACAAAGAGGATTAAGATGAAGTAAACTGTTCAGGAGGGCCAGCTCCCAGAGCTGATACAACCATAGCGAGCACTCATGGTGAAACGGCCTATAGACCCAGGTGTCTGGCACACAATGCGAAATACAGGATCTGCTTGTGAAGAAAAGGAAGAAGGAAGTGCCAAGAAAAGATGTCCCATCAGCTGCTTCTCTGATGCAGGAAGAGTACTCTGGAATAGCGGTGAATCCTCCAGAGTGTATCGGAGGCCTTAGCAATATCATCAGTAACAACATTCAGGATTTCTTGCTCCTTACGGCTGTTCAGATGCAACAACGAAATTGAATGCTTTTGTACTTGGACAACGTCCAACTCTGTGTTTGGAGATACAGCCTAGCTCGTAGATGGCTAAAGTCAGTGTAGCTACATATACATAAGGACAAAGTATCAGCTCTGTAGCTGTCTGAAGGGATCATACCCTTTCAGAAAGTTCAAATTAGCAGGTCGGTGAAAAAAACGAACTTAACCACTTTGACATGGGGAAAAAATAACTCACTTAGAAGCCTTTAAAGAGTACTTTGTTGGTCATATGCTAGAGTCTGCCTTGCTGCAAGTGGCAGTGGTAAGTAACAGAGAGGGAAGCAGCTCTTTTGCCTTTGCACAAGAGCAAAGGACAGGCCTTTGCACAGGACACCTGGGGAGGCACGCTTGGCCTTGACAAGCCCTACAGTTCTTTCTGCACCACACCACTTTCTCTTCTACATATGTGAGGCGTTTTTATCTTCCAATGGAATCCCTGTTGAGACTAACACAGTTAACATCCAACTAAAATACGTAATATTTATATAGAATTATTCAGTGAGGTGTTCGAAGCCTTCCTAACCTGTGTGAGTTTGTCCAGTTCCCCCAGCCAGGCCCCAAACATCTTGTCCAGATCCTGATCTTCCTTATCGCTATCTTCTTCTGCGCCATGGTCAAGTTCTTCATCCGATAATTGCTCCATCTGAAAAAACAAAAGCAATAATCAAGTTAATTTATACCAGTGTCTAAGGAAACTGGTGTCAGCTACTACGTTCCTGAAAAAAACGTTCCAAAGTCAAACCACATGTCTGTCCACAAGCTGACGTTCTTCGGAGGAAAATACTAGTGCTGTTGGGCATGTGAAGAACCTATTGCAAAGCTGCTTAAGTCTGAAATATTACTACTAAAAAGTCACTGAAATCTATGCAGCATTACATCTTGAATTAAAAGTATTTTATTACATTTGTTTACTATCAAAAATTAACAAAAAACATGTTTACGTTCTAACTTGCCTAACTCTGCCTTCCTCTGGTACTTATCAGTCAGCTTAGTCTTCTCCTACAAGGAAGTCTATTTCAGCTGTGATAAACACACTGCAGCTCTCATCAACCCTGCAGCTCTTATCAACCTTGCATTACAATGAGCCCCTATTTATACTGAGGCGACTGAAGTTGAAACGCACCCGCTCAAGTTTAGAATTTGGCAGAAGCAATAAGAATGCACACAGAAGAGCCTTCATTCTAAAATGATAAAAAGAAGAATGAACTGACTGAAAAAAAAATCAGTACCCACAAATAACTGGGGGTGGAGTGGGGTGCTCCTCCCCTCCTGCTCCCCTATGAACAGGAGCAGAAAGCTTACAGTGAAGAAGTGAATGAGCGAAAGGCTACAGGTGCTTCACAGCATATGCAAATTGAAAATTCATCACTAGTAATGACATGCCATGCAATAATAAACTTAAATAAATGTATACAAATCAACCTCTATAGAAAATAAAGAACAGACACATTGTTATACATGCAAAACTGCCGGAGAGCAAGTACATCTGTAATCTTAATACACAAAACAAATGACTGTTATACAGTTTTAAGTTAGGAAGCAGTGGAACTGGTCTGCAGAGTGAGAGAGGCAAAGGACTTCAGAAAAATTGCATGCATTCATAATAAGTTTTTTTAGAGCGCTTATGTGTAAGAAGCAAGCGTGAAAGCTGCGATGGATAATTAAGCAGCCATTCCTGCAGCAGCTTTTGACAGAACTGCAGAGGAGCTGAAGATAAGGGTGCACAGCATTTAATATACGATCTGAAATCATTTCATGCTAGCCTGTGCACGTGCACTCACTATCAATAACAGGCTCTGCATTACAAAAAAATTCAACTGCTGTCCAAGGAATTCAGCTGACCACAGTTAAGCAACACCATTCAACCCACAGGAAGTGCAGTCTCACTGCATTGCAAATAGCTGACTCTACACATTTGTAAACAGAAATGCTTAACCAGGCCACAGAGAATGCCAGCAATACATCCTGTCAGACAGTTAAATCTTGGATGCTCTCCAGTTCACTTCAGCAATACTGCACAATTTTTCCCTGGACAAAGAAACCCTTCCTTGGGAGCAAAGGGATGCCATCATAGCTATCAAACCCTCCTCCGTTCTTCATTTAACAAATCTGGTTGATAAAGATTTAACATTCTCCAAAAGTTACCGGTTATCACGTATCACATCCAAGGGGATAACAAAATTAATCTCGTCTTAAATGACCACTTCAAATTTCAAAACGTTTATTCTCTGGTTATTTCAGTTCAGTATGTAAGTACAGTTCACTGTCTTATAATATAAACATATTAACTCGAACAGAAATTTGAGCAATATTCCTCTAGTCAGACTTTTCTGCACTCAGATATTGCAGTTAAAAAGGAGGAGGGGGTAAGGCTCAGAAAACTTTAGAAATCTCCCTAACACGTGACTTGGTCGATCAGAAACAGCGTAATGAGCTGCTTTAGAATTTAAATCACTTGCTACTTCTCTGCTTCTCTTCCCTCTAGCATGTCCTCCAAGCCCCTTCTATGGGGCTACAGCACACAGGCCGTTCTGTTCAGAATGACAATTTACAGAGGGGTTTAAACATGCAATGGGGAAAACAACCTAGGTAATGACTTAGGAATGATAAGGCAGGACAGAAGAGTAAACCCAAGAGATGTCCTATGGACTGTCCAGCGAGAAGTAAGAAGAGATCTCTACCAAGAACTACACAAAAAACTCAGGATGTGCCACACAGTTTGATTTGGTCAAGCCATGAAATACATAGTAATTTGCTACATAGCATTCAAAAAGCACCAACTTACTTTTATTTACTCATTTTTAAAGCAAACTTCCTAAATTCTAGTCTTTAGGAAAAGACAGATCCTGGTCCGCAAGATAAACAACGAGAAAACACAATTCATGGAGCTATAGACTTGAACTGATGAGAGATGCTGCCAAAGGTGATAAACGCAATCTCAAACAGAAAAACTGTCCAATCAAACTATTCATAACAATAGTTTACTTAACCCTCCCACACACAATTTAAAAATACTCTTCACTTCTATTCACATACCGCTTGCATTTCACTTTACCTTGATGCAACGATCCAGTTGCTGTAGGCAAAGTAGCTCCCACCTCCTACAGAGATTTTCTTTTTATAGCAGAGTAGAATACAGCTGCTTACCTTAAAGGGGCAACAATATCAAAACTAACAAGGTATGGCATACTGCACTTGAGCAGATACGAAACAGATTAAGCGCGCCTTCTGGATCTCATTTCTTCCAACAGTGATTTGGAGTTCCTTCAAATGCTTCCAGCACTCCAGGGCTGGGAAGGAAGCCCTCTTGCTAAAATCCAAGAGCGATGTTGAAATCACAAAAACATCAATGCACTTGTAATAGAGCTGCATCTCCCACTAAGACTGCACCAGTTTTCTGGACTTTGGAAATTCAACATACCTATTTTGTCCTAGATTCCTCTCCCTGTGATGTCACCTGAGCGCCCTCCCACATACAGAAGCGGGAACAGCAGGGTAACAGCAACTCATACCCTACCCTAGACTTCTGCAATACAAACAGAAGCCGGATTCCACCTCAACGCTCCTTCAAAAGTTTTGCGCAGGCTTTTATGTGGATCAGAAATACTGTAAACCCAAGACGAGCACATTATACTTAAAGTGACATGGTCAACCTAAACTACGGCAACTGAATACACTTTACAAGTTGTATATCTTTTTTAATCTATTCTCATATGACAATAGCATTTTAAAATGTCTAGATACACTTGAAGTCAAGAATTTTTATTTGAAGGCTAAGGGAAGCTATTAAAAACCCACTTTAGGAAACACGACTGTGACCTGGTGAATCAAATAAACGGAAACTGTGATACAACACAGCGCTCAACACTTACAGAGGTTTTATGCAGCTAGCTTTTCCCTCCTTAAGCTGTTCTTGCCACCAACTCCACAGTTAGATGGGACTTGATTTTACAGTGCATTCATTCCATGGTCCTGTTCATAACCCATCCTTTCACGAAGGGAGAACCTCATTCTCATTACTAACTATTTCTGAAAAAGTCTCAACTGTGGAAAGAAGCTAAATTTCCCATAAACTGTTGCTTCAGCTATTTTAACTTGGCCTCAGAGACACTACATTAGTTCCAGTTACTTTGAAGACAGAATTAGCAGCCTAAAGAAAACTTTTACAAGTAAAGTACTGTTGTGTCAGCAAGCCTGGCAGTAAACCCTGAAGTATTTGCCAGCTCCTTACAGTCCCCCACCCAAGCTTCCTAACGTCAGCTGCATTTCCTATAAGCACGTCAACGTTTGCTTGCAGAGGCACACTGAGAGGACAGTGTCTCACTTAAGAAACAGCTAATATTAACTTGCTCGTCCTGTAACAGGGATCTCTTAGCTGTACTACAAGCTCTACTACTGGAAGGAGACGCCCCAGCAGTCAGAAGGATGAACTCAGTAAATTACCGCAGAGACAAACTGTTCAGATAACAGTACCTGACCCTTTTGCTGGCAGAACTCAGAACAGCAGTGGCTCAAAAAGATTGTACCTTCCAATAAAAAAAGTTATAAACTTTCACTTTTATAGGTGGTTTTCCCTCACTGTTGTTGAGCACAGCAGACATGCACCATACTTCAGCAAAATCATGACCTAAACTAGGAGTTATCACACCTTTCTACGGCTATTACGTTTTTACTTACAAAATGGAAAAAACAATGGTAGTGGTTAAGACTCCCTCCCCCCTCCTTTTTTTTTTTTTTGTTAAAAGGAAAGTCATTTAGAACCAAATTCAATCTTAGAAAAGGAAAAAGGAATAACTCCTTTACTTAACACTATAAAACAACTTACATACCTCAAGCATTTGCAGGTTGGCAGAATTTAAGTAGCTGCCGCTTCTATTTAGCTCACACCAGGTGAGTCGCCAAACAAATTTTAAGATTCAAGCAAGTCATTTCTCAACACTTCACGTCCTATTTAGTTCAAGCAAACGTCACAACAGAACTCAATGAAAGCAAGCAGCATTCAGATTCTGCTTGAGCTGCCTACAATTCTGAAGTAGGCTTCAAATGCAGCCACTGAATTTCCCAGTTAAAGACGCTCACCTGGGCCTTGACTTGTCCAGAGCTCAGAGGTAAAACAAACCGAATGGATTCGGTAAGGATAAAGCAAATCAAATCAGAGAAAGCACAATGCAGACTCACCAACTTGTCACATCAAGCACCGGAAAGCCCTAACCTGTCCCCCCCGTACAGCAAGTCCCCTTTCTTCCAAGAACATGGCTGTAGTTCTAGCTGCATCCCACGTAGGGCACAGCAAGAAACTCTAAAGAAGTCTTGTTGACCAAAACTGCTGGTCACTCCCTCTCCTAAATATCCTTAGTGACTCAAATCTTGCACTTAAGACACCCACATAACGTCAACCACAGGAAAATTTCAAAAACCTTCAATCCTTTAATTCAGGCACTAAGTGGCAATGATGATTCCAATTCAGTTCCACTTTCAGAGTAAAACAGCACTGACTACTTACTAGATGAGCCTCTTTAAAAATATGAATATTGCTCCTCCTAGAGCCCCTGCCCAGGCAACACAATGATTAAAGATCCATTTTCTTAAAACTACAGTAATTCTAATCTTAAGCATTCATACAGGTGTATCTCAGTAAGACTC